ACCACCTGTGGTAGTCACTAGTCTATCACCCTTAAATCATTTGAATTCAATTGAAATCAAGAAGCAGCAGTCCAGAACATGTCTGCTCTGAACAAAATTTCAATATAGTGTATTTACCATTTAATGGCTCAGACTGAGTGAGGATGTAAGACCCCTGATCTCAGTTAGCTAATGGCTGAACCCCCTGATGCTGACTGACCTCGGGCTGCAAGGCCCAGATTGAGTTCCCCATCCTTCTGAATGGTTGAACTCTGCAACATTCTATTACAGGTTTCCCATGCCCTTCCTTTAAAGATGTTCAAAGTTGGGAACTCAGAAAAATACCCTTGATGACCACCTCTGTCTTTGAAGAGTGGGTCCAAAGACTGGCACAGTCAGGAGGTCTGAGAGTGTGTGTGGGGGCTTATGGGGGTTCAGGGGCGCCTGTGTGGCTACCTTCCCAGTGCTTGAGCGATGGCTGCTGAGTCAGGAGCTGGCGTGGCTCTCCTTCCCAGGGTGGATCGGGGCACAGGCTACTTCCTGGTGCTTGAGTGATGGTGGCTGGGTCGGGAGCTGGTGTGGTTCTCCTTCCCGCGGTGGATCGGGGCCCAGCCTACCTCCCCGGGCTTGAGCGATGGCTTGCATTTACTGTACTTTTGATCACACCTCATAAAGACACATGAAAGGTCCTCAGAAAGTAGCAAGAATGATGAGACAGTGCATTCAAAGTGAAGGTGAGTATTTTGAGGGGGATTAATGACAATATGTCTTTTACTATAATAATAAAAAAAATTAAATATTCACTGTATGTTTTGACCACACTGTTTCTCATATAGCAGTTATTTGTTCCTTTTCAGGAATGGACAACATTCTTCTATATGAATATATCAGAGTTTTCTTATCTGTTCTGTTATTGATGGACAGCTGGACATTTCCAGTTTGGAGTTATAAAGTGTAAATGTGCTGTGAACACTTTGTACACAGCTTTTTTTTTTTTTTTTGGAAGATTTTTTTTGTTTCCTTGGATAAAAGCCTGAGGGTGGACTTTCCAGGTTGTTAGATATTTAATTTTATAAACTGTAAGCTCTTCTTCCAGAGTAGTTTTACTGTTTTAAATTCTCTTCTACAATTATTTTGCTTTGGATATATATGTCTTCCCAGGCTGGTGTATTGAGGGCTCAATTCCCAGGGCAGCACTGTTTAGAGATGAAACTTTTGGAAAATGACTGGATCATTGGGGCTGTAACTTCATAAATGGGTTAACCCACTGATATATCCATAATCTGATGCTGTTGTTGGGAGGTGATGGAAACTTAGGATGAGGAGCCGAGTTGGAGGGAGTGGGTCATGGGAAAATGACCTTGGGTATTGTATCTTGTCCCCAGCCCTTTCCACGCTAACTCTTTTTCTGCTTCCTGACAACCATGGGGTGAGCATCTTTGCTTTCCACCTCCATGATATTTGACCTCATCTCAGCCCTGCAGTGTTGGGGCAAAATGACCACGGACTGAAACCTCTGAAACCAGGAGCCCAATAAATCTTACCTCCTCTGAGCTGATTTTCTCGAGTAACACAGCATCCAGATGTTCAACATTCTTGACGAAATATTGTTGATACCAGTGTTTTTAATTATAGGCCTTCTGGTGTGTGCATGCTAGTGTCTCACTGTGGTCTTCATTTGCATTTTATTGTTTCTTGAACAAATTAGAACCAATCCTGCTAATTCTACCTTCTGCTTTACCTTTACATTTAGAGGTACTTAGAGCTGCCAATTCCTTAGCTTTGGGGGATTTTATAGTGTCATTTGTTTTAATTGAGTCTCAGCTTTAAATTTGATTTAACTCTCTCTAGTCTACTAAATCACTTCTCACCACTCTTCCATTTAATTTCCAGCTTGCAAAATATTTCCCTATTGTCTCCTTTTCCATTCTCTTCCTCCTTGTGGGTTTATGTCTAAAAGCAAATCAAAACCAACCACAATGAAACAACAAGAAAACTACTATTTTAGTAGGGCTTTGGAAATAGAAAATGTTTAAACTTCCATTTTTTAAAGTCCAGAAGTTCTTTTAGGAACAGGGATATAGATCTTGGTTTGAAGTGTCTGAAGATAGCAAAATACTGTTTGAGATAAGGGCTATAAAATTGTGACTACTCTCTGAGATACATTAAAGAAGAGGTGAGGGGCCGGGGATTTAGCTCAATGGTTCCGCCACCTGCCTTGCAAGCACAAGGACCTGAGTTCAATCCCTGGTACAAAAAAAAAAAAAAAAAAAAAAAAAAGGAAGAGGTGAGGAAAATCCTGAAAACCATTTTTACATTAGTAAGGCCAGCAACACACTCTATACTGAGATGAAGAACTACATAAATGTTACATGTATCACTAAATCAACTTACCTTTAGCCAAATTTCTTCAATTCTGTCAGCACTCCATTTCCACCAACAAAGAGTAAATGAAATAGAAGAGGGGCAAAGCAGGGATTTGCACAATGAAAGAAGTCACTGTGCTTGGCTGTTGCCAAGCACTTGTGAGGAAAAGTTCACAGATTTGGTTGCCAATTCTGCATGGGGAAGTAAAAAAGAGGAAATTATACTTTGAAAAGTTCAATTCGTTTAGGAACTTTTCCTATTGTTTCTTCAAAATTTAAATGCTATATACATCCTTACCTTTTTGGGAATCTTAATCTAATTTCAAAAGTAGGATTTGGTTGGCATATCCATATTCTCAAGTAAACTAACATTAACAAAGAAGGAGAGGCTGCTGGCAGTCTCGTTCAATGTGTGAATGTCCAGCGTGATTTCTCTTCCTTTTTGTTCTCCTGGGCCTTGGTTTCCTCAAGAAAAAGTTAGATCAACATTTTATTCTAATATTGCTTGTGTCTCTGCTACTTTTAGGGACTTGATACTGAGTTCTGAATAAGGAAACTCATGGTTGTAGTCTTTGGGAGTCACCAGAATGGAATCAATTGGAATTAGATTTTTAAATAAGTAATCGCTTCTCGGCCTTTTGGCTAAGATCAAGTGTAGATTTTTAAATAAGTAGGCTTTGTACTTTCTCAGATTTTGCATTTCTACTTCACAAAGAAATATTTTCTTGAGACTCCTGCTAGTGTGATTGAAGGGCAATTTCAGCTTCAAACAGCATTTTTTTGTGTCAATGAAGAGATTTAATTATGGCAACAAATTGTGTCTAACACTTGATGAGCTTTGGAACTTCTTGAAAACCATAAGACTTTCTAATTCTCAGTTTGTTTCTTCATAAAACAGGAATGACAATGGCTATATTAAAGGGGTATTTTGAGCATTAAATATCTTTTGTACAAAAAGAGCTTAGCTGAGTATCTGGAACATAGTATTTGCATCCCGTATATTATTTCTCACTATCATCTTGAAACTGTAATGCTTTATGGGACTTTGACCTACTCTGCTCATGAAGGTATTACCCTAGGCTATTTGAATGTCTCCCACCAGTCTCCTTTCTCTCTTTCTTCCCAAAATTTGTTTGCCAATTGGAAGAGAAATCCTCTCCCTAACTCATTTTGTGGTAGGCCAATGGCACAGGCCTTGTCTGTTCAAATACTGTGCCCCTTGTCTCCTACAAAGGGCATGACCCTCAAGTTTAGCCAACACCTTTTTTTTTCTTTCCTTTTTTTTCCTGGGACTGGGGGTTGAACCTTTGGCCTTTACACTGAGATACATCCTCAGCCATTTTTATTTTATGCTATTATTTTAATTAATCATTTAATTAATTAATTCAGAGACAGGGTCTCACTAAGTCACCAAATGGCCCAGGTGGTCTCAAATTTGTGATCCTCCTAGCTGAGCCACCCAGGGTACTAAGATTACGGGCATGGGCTGCTACTTCTGCAGGCCAAGGACTATCTCACTCAGTATTTAGGGAAAAATCTTTTCCCACTGGATGTGTAGGGTATGTGTAGGCATCTAGTGACCAGGTCATGGGGAAACTCCATCTGAGAATGGCCCTAATGTAAGAAAGCTATCTGCAGGAAAAGGTAGAGAAAGTTAGTTTCCTGATTATATAATTTGTGCCTCTGGATAAATCCATTTAGGAAACCAGAATGCCCACAGACTTCCTCCTTTTATGAGAAAAAAAAAATCCCTGCTGTATTCAAGCTAAAATTAAACTGGATCTTAACTCCTGCAACTGAAAGAATGGCTCATTTTGACCTAAACTTTTTTCTCCTCCATCCTTTCTTACAGTAGGTTAGCTATCAATTGAAGACATACACCTAAAAATCAGTGGGTTATAATGTTTCATGACCCCTGCAGTTCAGTGTTTGAGAGTTTTAGAAGTACAGGTGGTTCAATGATTCCTTAGTCATTTCAGCAAACTTATGACTTTAAAACTGAAATTTATTTGAGTAAAGCCTAAAAGGAACCCAGAATGCAGCTGTTTAAGCTTTCCAGTTTTAAGTGGTTTATGGTCATGGGTAATGCAGTTGTGGTTAGGGGAGAAAAAAAAAAGGGAGGGCAAGGTTTATGGGCCTCAGGTGCTCAGTGTTTTCCTCACAATGTGTTTTTAAAAAACCTTTTATTTTTATTAGTATAGCTTGCAGTATACACGCATTGCATTCTTTGTGTGCTGTTGATCCGTGTACACAACACATCTAAATTCTTTTTACTTTCTCCCTTCCCCTCATCTCCTTTAACCCTCCCTCTAGCTCTTGGTCCCCTTACCATTTGCAAGTGTTATATCTCCTGCATCCTATTATCTACCTTTTATTTTGCTCTTAAAATCATTTATACTTTGCTTTTTTATATATATAAGAGAAATCATCTGGTATTTAAACCATGCGTCTGATTTATTTTACTTAACATTGTGTCTTAAGGTGCACCCATTATGAAGTGCACTGATGTCATGACCACCAATCATGTGTGAGGTGCAAAGAGGGAAGGAGAGAGAAAGTCCCACCAGGACGCAGTTGTCATGTATTGTGTGGGGTGGGGAAGAGGGACCATAACGAATCTGTGCTACAGAATGTGCCCTGTGTTCTTTCTTGCACACTGGCTACATGTCAGGAAAACATCATGACATGCTGAGGTGGTGAGGATGAATTGTAGTCTAAATATATTGTCTTGCTTATATTTTCTTTTAAATTGAATTAATTGGTACATTCTAGGTAGACAGTACAGTTACATTCATTACTGGGATCTTGTACCTTTACATGCCAGTCCTGGTTCTCATTTTTTCCCTTTCTCCCCACCCTCCCATCACCCCCTCCTCCCCTCCCCACCTAAAAACACTTTAATTCCATTTTTAAATTTTCTCATATTTTTTCCCTTTCCCTTGTTCCCCTTCCCCTACCCTTCTCACTGTCCCTACACCTTTAGTCCTTTTCTTCCTATTTCACATTGCTAATTATCCCGTTAGGATCTTGAGTATTATTTTAGTTTTTCACACCAGAGAAACTATTCAGTATTTACATGTATGACTTATTTATTTCACTTAGGAGTATATCCTCAAAATGTATCCATTTACCTATGAATGAATCTACTTTCTCATTCTTTATGGCTGAGTAGTATTCCATTTTATAGAAAAAAACACATTTTTATCCCGTTTCCAACTGATGGGCAAATGGGCTGTTTCCAAGTTTTAGCTATTACAAACTGTGCTGCCATAAACATGGGTGTGCATATATCACTGTGGTATGATTCTTTTAATTCTTTTGGAAAGATACCCAACAGAGGGATGACTGGGTCAAATGGAACCTCTAATACTAGTTCTTTGAGGTATCTCCATCTTGACTTCCATAGTGGTTGCACCAGTCTGCACTCCCACCAACAATGGAGAAGGGTTCCTTTCTCCCCACAACCGTGCCAACATTTGTTGTTGTGTGATTACTTGATAGCAGCCATTCTTTGTGGGGTGAGGTGAAATCTGAGTGTTTTCATCTGCATCTCTCGAATGACCAGTGATGCCAATTGAAATTCCAACACTGTACTTCACAGAACTAGAAAGAAAAATCCAAAAATTCATTTGGAACCAGAAGAGACCTAGAATAGCAAAAGCCATCCTAGGCAACAGACCATGGAAGAGGGTATAACAATTCCCAATTTGAAACTATACTATGAAGCTACTGTGATAAAAATAACATGGTACTGGCAAAGAAACGGACCTGAGGATCAATGGAAAAGACTGAAAGACACAAAAACAACTCCAGATGTACTCAGTTACCTCATCTTTGACAAAGGAGCTGACCGTCCCCACTGGAGGAAAGCTAGCCTCTTTAATAAATGGTGTTGGAAAAATTGGATCTCAACCTGCAAAAGACTAAAACTATACTCTTATCTCTCACCATGCACTAAATTAAAATCCAAGTGGATTAAAGATCTAAGTATACAAACAGAAACACTAAACTTGCTGGAAGATAAGTTAGGCAGAACTCTGGAAGACATTAGCATAGGAAAAGACTTTATGAACAAATCCTCAGTAGCATGGGAACTAGCACAAAGAATCAACAAGTGGGATCTCATCTTATTGAAAAGCTTCTGCACTGCAAAAGAAACCAACAACAGAACTAAGAGACAACCTACAATGGGAAACAATTTTTTACCAACTGTTCCTCAGACAAAGGACTATTATCTAGAATATATAAAGAACTCAAAACAACCAGCCCCCAAATATAAGGACCTAATTCAAAAATGGGCAGCTGAAATGAATAGACATTTCTCAGACAAAGAAGTAAAAGCAGCTTATATTTTAATTACAGACAACTTTGTAAGACCTTTAGAAGACTATGTATAGCTTTAAAGTTAAACTCATTCTTGCTTAGGTAATAGTATTATCAAAAGGACATCAATACTAGAAAATACATCTTCTTTTAAATGAATGTTATTCTCTGCCCCAAAGGAGTTTTGAAAGATGACACGTGAATCTGATGAATTTTTTAGGATCCAGCTGACAATTTACAGTGAATAGATGGGAAGAACATAATTTGTACATGGTGGAGATGCAACCCAGGAAACCATGGGTTTTTTTTTTTTTTCCTTATTTATTTATTTATTTATTTATTTATTTATTTATTTATTTATTTATTTATTTATTTTTATTTATTTTTTTTTTTGTACCAGAGGTCAAACTCAGGACCTTGCACTTGCAAGGCAGCCAATAAAACCACTGAGCTAAATCCTTGGCCCTTATTTATTTAATTTTATTTTATCACCTTTCCATCCTCAAGCCCCCCTCCCCTCCCTATGAACAAAAGCTTTGCTTCCATTTTCTCTTCTATTTTCACTTTTTTCCTTGTCTCTTCCTTCCTTTCTCCCTCCCTCCTCCCTGTTCCCCTTCCCATTTGAACACTTTCTTCCCATTTCTCAACACCTCTTATACTTTTCAGTCCTTATTTACACTTTCAGTTTCTCACACCAGAGAAACAATGCAGTATTTAAGCATAGGTGTCTGATTTATTTTACCTAAGAGTGTGGTTCCAAGGTACATCCATTTGGCTATAAATGTCTTGAAGCTCATCTTTCTTTAATGGAGAGTAGTACTCCATTGTATAAAAAACCCACATCTTGGGTGGAGGATTTGGCTCAGTGGTTCTGCTGCCTACCTCACAAGTGCAAGTTCCCGAGTTCAATTTCCAGTACCAAAACAAAAAAAACAAAATACCCACATCTTCTTTATGCACTCATCTATTGATGGGCATTTGAGCTGTTTCCAAATTTTAGCTATTACAAACTGTGCTGCTTATATAAACGTGGGTGTGCATATATCGCTGTGGTATGATGCTTTTTAATTCTTTCAGGATGATACCAAGAGAAACCATACTTGTTTAAAAGAATTTTTAAAAAAATGAAGTGGAGGAGAAACCACAGGAAATGTCAAAAACATAGCAATCTACTATATATTTGGGCATTGGATTAAAAATAAAAATAAGAAAATAATTTTAGATATTTGTGTGAAAACTGGAGGTTTGAATACTGCCTAGATGATTAACGATGTCGAGGAACCATTGTTTTGGTGATGGCTGTTTGGTGTAATATTACTGACTGATGTGCTAAAGAAGGGAATGCCCGTGTCTTTTGCGGGTATACACTGAGAGACTTACAGATTAGAAGCTCATGTTTTTCTTAGGATAGCATCAAGGAGATAAAGTCTGGGCTATAATAACAATTTAAAAAAACTTGCTGTTATTAGTCTTCCTAGGTTATATTCATGGAAAACGTGCCTGTTGAGATATAAGATAAACATGATTTATAAGAAAAGAGGAACAGTAAAGAACACTGAAGGAAATTTTATTCTCTTTCCAAGAGCCTGATATCAAAGCTATTATAAGAATATGAACACATATGTCAAGTTTAATCAACTACAGATGATAAACTCAAATAATATAAAACCATTTCAGCTTCTAGATAAATCAAATTAAAAAGGCAAAACAAATCTAAAACACATGATTTTCCTTTGGCAACTCTTGACTTATCTTATGCCTGCCAATGACTAATTCTGTATCAATCAAGGCTCTAAAACTATAGGCCTTGGTAAAATCTGTCCTACCATCTGTTTTGATGTGGCCCAGGAGCTAAAAATGGTTTTCATATTTTTAAATGATTGAAAAATATCGAAAGGAGAATAATAATACTTCTTGACATTTGCAAACTCTATGAAATTCTAACTTTAGTGTTCAAAATATAATTTAACTTGAACACAGCTATTAATACTTATTTACTGTTTTTGCAAATAAAATTGTATTGGAGTCTATCCATCCATTTGTGCATTGCCTATGGCTGCTTCCAACTTACATCAGGAGATGAATAATTATCCCGAGACTGTATGGCTTGTGAAGCCTAAGTTATTTTTCCTCTGGCCCCTTACAGAAGAAGTTCCCCAACCAAGATGAACAAACACTGCTGGTGTGAAGTTCTGGTCTAAACTTGCACAGGCTTGGAGGGTAGAATCACAACTCACATTCGTCTTGTAACTCTGACTTCTCTTCGCTTTGGGTGTGATTTTTCTTATATTTGTGCCCCCTTGAAATAATAATGTTTTCTACTTATATAGTGTTCACCATCTTTCTGGAATTCTTTTAATATTTTTTTTTCACCTAAAGGTGTTTTTACCTTTTAAAAAATTTTTAAAGATTTTTTTTATAAGTACAAATTTGTGATACATAATGAATACATTCATGGGAGGAGTTGATACATATATATTTCACATCTTAGCCTTTTTCTTTCTGACATTCCTCTACCTGTATGTATGTATATTAACTCTTTTAATCATCATAGCAATCTATAAGATAAATACTATAATTATCCCCCATTTTATACTTATAGAAATGGAAAGAAGGGTTAGTTGAACATGGGTTAACCAAAATTCTGTAGATAGAGCCAGGTTGGGGACCCATGTAGCTTGGCTCTTAAATGCTGCACACTAATTCTAACTTTATTATCCAAACAGGAAGCAACTGCACATGACCGTATTCACTAACGTTTTGTTTACAAACACAGGAGCCTAGGTTTGGCTCTCAGGCTGTAATTTGCCACCTTGTCTTACTTTACCCCAATCTCAGCATCCAGTGAATGTCACTGTTTCTTTGAGTCAGGGAACCACAAGGCCCACCAAGGAGAAACCATTGAGTGGTTTGGTGGTTCTAACACCAAAGCTCTTTTGAGCTTTAGGGCAAGAATGATATAAAGTTGATCATTCTGTTAACTAAGTGAATTTGGATTAGTGACAGCGGTTCCTAATCTTTAAAATGAAAGGCTGTAGATGACCAGAAATTCTTACACCATAAATACTTGCAATTTTTGTTCATCAATTAAGAAAAGAGGAGTAGTTCTTGAGTAGTGTCTCATTTTGATTTTGAGCCTCCATCCTTGCTTTGTGGCCTTTCATTATCTTACCCTGACGGGTAGTCTTGAACAGAATAACAACATCCTTGCAAGCAAGAACCATGGAGACTTCTTTGAGAACCTGGGATCTCTGACTCAAAGCTCGGCTGCTGCTAAGAGCAGAGTGGAGGCCACTCCAAAAAATGATGGTTCATGACCAGCTTGTTGTATACACCAGGTTCTAATGGCATGTTCTAATTCATAGCCTGTGTG